TACATTCCACTCTGTTTCCCCTCCCACACTGACTCCTGTAGCTTCTAGCCAAGCCTTCCCAGACCTAGTACTCTTGTCCGAAGCTGTGCAAAAGCCCTCCTGGCCACGGCTGCCACCTGCTCTTCGAGCAGGAGTCGTGAGTCCAGGAGGACCCCCAATTACGCACTGAGTCTGTCTGGGGCAGTGCCACCCCATCCAGAACCAAGGATGACAACGTCCTGGATACAGAGGAGCCATTAACCCACAGCCACTCCGTCTTGCCAGGGGTCAGCTGGAGCCTGTTGTTCCCCATCCAGACCCTCACAGCCTCCAGGCACCGCGAGAGGGCGGTTTATGGTGACATCCCTGCGAGGCCGACATATTCTCAGGGCTGTCACCATTTAATTCCCTTCTCAATTCAGTTATCTTTTTCTTCTGACTCTGACTTTTGCATTTCAAGTTCTTACCTGACTTGCTCTCTCCTCCAAATGAAGGAAAGTGAACTACAGGCTCTTAATTGTAGATAGCCTTAAATACCTGAGGCTTTCCTACCATGTTATTTTTTAAATGAAGTTGATCTCTGTGTTATTTAATGCAAAGCCTCAAGTACATTTATAAAATTTATACTCCTAACGAGTTTCGCTCTGCGTGCATTATTTCCATGGTACACAGCTACCTGCTAGCCAGTATTGGCTAGGCTATAACTCTTGTGTTGGATGGTTTTATTATCTATGCTGAGAACAGTTTGTAAAAAGGTGTATCCAGTAATAGAACTTTCCCAGCTAGTTTGAAGTGATATTTGCCTATTTATATAACATAGGCCTGGCCTCTATGACTCAATGATACAGGCACAAGTTGTACCTTGACTTTACTCCAACCGGCACTTTTTTCCCTCTTCAGCTTGTTAACGATCTTAAAATGGATGCAGGACAAGTTCTACTTAAGAATTTTTTTTTTTATTACATCATAGCATTCAGGCATAAGGCCCCAGTACTGCTTTCATTAGAATTTCATCTCAGAAACTTATTCAATGTTCTGAAAAGCTACCATGGCCCATCTCAGGAGACTTGCTCCCCAACATTCTTCAGACTCATTCAGCTTGGCAAAGCTTCTTTCTACATTTCTTATCTCCCTCCCTGAACCACCTCCTACTCTTTTTATTAGATCTCTGACATAACTTTTGGTTTCCCTGGCTCTCTGTCTCTACAGGCCTTTCTCTCGTGGTCCGCACACAGCAAAATGACTTTATCCCACTACTGTCCACTGTGACGGGAGCCCGAATAATGGTCCATAATCAGAATGAACCAGCCTTCATGGACGAAGGGGGCTTTAATGTACGTCCTGGCATAGAAACATCCATCAGTATGAGAAAGGTGAGAGACAGAAAAGATAAGCCTTGCTTTCAGCATGTGGGTGGAATCACTTCTTTTGCAAAGAAAGGAAATAGAAGCACATGGCTGAAATAAAACAGGCTCAGTTCAGTTCAGTTTATTCAGTTCAGAGTTTATTAGAACTCATGGATCACCAAAAGAAAACATGAAATAACTTCAGCTATTATAGTGCTATAAAACTAGAGTCTGTCAACAAACCATCAATACAATGAATTGTCATAATGACAACCTACCATTTTCTTATCTAGATTTGTGTGTGTGTGTGTGTGTGTGTGTGCGCTAAAAGGTTAACAAGCCGCAGAACAGAAAGAACAGTCTACGCTCTTAGAAATGTTTACTTGCTTCTATCCCACAATGTATGAAGCAACTATGAGTCTTTTCTTCAATACTTACAAACCATGGAAATTTATTCAGTGGCGTTACAAGGCGTCATAGCTCCCTCTGAGTATCCTCCCATAGTGCTGATTGTTTAAAAAAAAAATTTGGCAAGGGTTTACAGTTTTCCTAAACTGTAAAAATGTGACTGGCATTTGGTGGTCAATTATTTCATCACAGACTAACATACAGTACTTCACATAGTTATTATAAGAATGAAATTGGGAAAATAAGAGTGAAATTTTTAAAAAGTAAAATAGCCCTCTCATATCACTTGGTAAATATGAAATATATAATTCCCCATTCTATGTATGTGAAAAGCAGTACAATGAGTGACTTCATGCAACATATAATTCTCCCTCTCCACTTAGTGTGCCACTGTTATGTCAGGTACACATTTAATTTGGAATTTCACCCTGGAATATCTACCATCCATTGTTTTCACAGACCCCAATCATATAGCTGTTATCATTAGAACAGGACTGGCACCCACCGCAGGGGCATGAATGCTGTAAGATGGGACAGAGGAAGCCTCCTGGTTTAACTTTTATGACTTACTGTGTCATAATAAGAAGAGTGTAACATTGTTATACTAGAGCATGGTGATGAACAGGCTAAAGGAATGTCATTGTTGACCAAGCATTAAGATGTATAGTACTTATACCAGTTACTTCCAGTGCAGAAACATTGCGCTAAACATTGCCAGTGATGAAGGACAGTGTTGTAGTTCAAGATGTCTCTGTAAACAAAAGAGCTAAATAAAAGTAGCAAAGATTTGAAACAACTTTTGGAAATTTGTTAAGTATGGGGAAGGCTGCCTGGAGCTCTCCAGATGTTTTGGATTTCAAATTCCATCAGCACCAGCCAGTAGGCAATAGTAAGAGGCAGTGGGAATTGTAGACTAAATTACCTAGAAGGGTACTGGATGCTTTAGCACAAATCTTCAGGCCAACAAAATTTCTAGCTTGAGTTTGAGTCAGGCAGTACCTTCAGCAGGCAGGCTGAAGACATGAAGGAAAGATATGACAGCCAGTGCAAAGCAGAAAAGGGGGAAAAAACTGCATTGATTTGACGAGCTGTAAATTGACTGGCAGGAAACCACCCAGCGCCTTGGGGGCACCTACAGTGGCTGCACAGAAGATGGAAGTGATGTGCCAGTGAAGAACCTTTTCTCATCCCGTTACACTGAGCAGGTATCTTCCCTTAACAGAACCACTCTCACTCCAGGACTGGGCTCTGCCTAGCCCTCTCCCTGTACTGGGATTATCCCCATCACCAGAAATCTTCCAGCATTAATGTGCTGCTGAATATTCAAGGGGCTCCTTTTGCTACTTCTAGGTCTGCATACGTTCCTGTTTCCAGAACAGTATGGTAGAACAATGTGGCTGTGGCCATTACTTCTACCCCTTACCCCCTGGAGCAGTGTACTGTGACTACACTAAACATGTAGCCTGGGGTAAGTACAGACAAAGGCCGGGAGGAATTCACCCATATCACATCTCTGTAACCCCCACTGTCAACTCCTTTAGCTGACAAAAGATTGCTCAGTTAACACATGTTTCTCTGTGTCCTATTAAGGTTATTGCTATTATAAACTCCAGGCTGAATTTAAAGCAGACCACCTAGGCTGCTTCACTAAATGCCGGAAACCTTGCAAGTAAGTAGGCTTCAAAACTTGTGGAGTTGCATTCCTGGGTCTGGCCAGATTCCACAGAGCTTGCTTGGCAATAGAAGATGTTCGGGGAAATGGAATGAACAGACTTCATCCTTGACACATCCATGAAGGCTGGCCTCCCAATTCTAGCTGAAAGGAGGAGCCCCCAAGCAGGGAAAGAAAAGGAAAGGGAATGGGGCATTGCTGTTTAAAAGTTCTCATAGATCATCCTAGTCGCAAAGTGATGAACGTATGTCGCTCAGATGCTGACAGGGTGACCGGAGGTTCAGCTATGTGACTTCCCTCAGCCATGCAAGTTCACTTCTGGACAAGGATGCTGACTAAAGAGCTTATCTCAAATGTGCTGGATGTAAACACCTCTGAAGTTCTCTTTTACTTTTCTTTAGGGTGACAGAGTACCAGCTGTCAGCTGGATATTCACGCTGGCCTTCAGCTGTCTCCGAGGTAAGCAGCTGATTTTTGCTATAGGGCAGCGTTTCTCACGAGAACCAGTTTGGTCTTGTGGTTAAGGCGCCAGGCTAGAAACTGGGAGACTGTGAGTTCTAGTTCCGCCTTAGGCACAAAGCCAGCTGGGTGACCTTGGGCCAGTCACTCTCTCTTGGCCCTAGGAAGGAGACAATGGCAAACCACTTCCGAAACACCTTGCCAAGAAAACTGCAACGACTAGTCCAGGCAGTCACCAGGAGTCAACCCTGACTCGAAGGCATCAAAAAAAAAACAAGTGTTTCTCAACCCTAGCAACTCTCAAGATGTGTGGACTTCATGCTGGCTGGGGAATTCTGGAAGTTGAAGTCCACACATCTTGGAGTTGTCAAGAATGAGAAACACTGGTGTAAGATATAGACACCTGAAAGCTATGAGGGACCAATTGAACACTTCACACCTGTGGATGCAATAGCATCTTCCCTTAATGCCCATTTTGCAAGTGAAAGGCATGGGGTAGAGAGAGAAATATAAAGCAGATCTGGTAGACTTAACCCCAGCCTGCTGGTGTTGTTCCAAAGACATGTGCATTTTTTTAATTACAGGAGAAAGGTCACTTGGAGGAGAGAACTATTGAATGGAAAAAAGAACAAGAGTTCTTTTCCACCCTAAATGCCTTCCTTTCCAAAATTACTTTTTTTTAATAGTTGTGTGTGTTTGTGCATAAGAGGTTAACATCCCCTGAACTGTTCAAGCTGATTTTGCAAATCTATCCTCTCATTTCAGGCCTGGGTGTTTCACATGCTGACCCTGCAGAATAAATACGATGTCATATCTAAGAGGTAAGGGCTCCCCCTACTGACAAAATATGAACAAAAATTGTTGGTTAAAGTCAAACCAACAAGGTGAAACAGCAGCACTGAGGCAAAAAAAAAGATGAGGGAAACAGGGTGAAAATATAACATATTGACTGCTTCAAGATCGGCTGGAAGCAAGACTATTGGAATGTAAAGGCTGTGGCTGTATAGTCATGGTTACATGGTTAGTTAATGGTTCAGGGTGCTATGAGCTCAGAAATTAGATTAGGTCAATCTTGAGTAGTGCAGCTTTTCCCAAGGACAGAACTTCAAGTGCACACAGCTATACCGAAGACCATTCTTCCACAAAACGTTACAACTTTTTTACCACCAACCATGAACTGCTGAGCTGTTCAGAGAAATAGCTAAAGATCAGGCAGCAATGCCAGCATCTGAATGGATGCTCACATTAATTTCAAGTGCCTGATTCATTATAATATGGTTTGCACATCGTAATGGGAGTTTAAAGTAAAATTAGAGGACTGAGTAGCCATAAAAGCTGCACTAAAAACTGCTACAGATCTGAGGATTCTGCTTTGAATGTTTGGAAGTATTGGGTTTTGAAGACTCCTATTGCAGTAATATTTGCCTAGCAGCCAGGTTCACTGAACTAAGGGGCACAAAGACGACCCATTGAGAGGAGATTATTTCTAAGTAAGGGTGGGTAGAATTGCAGTCTTAGACAGATGCATCTTTCTAACAAGGCCTCAGCTCATGCAATCTCTCTTCTGTTGCCAGGAACGGAATTGCCAAAGTGAATATATTTTTTAAAGAGTGGAATTATAAAAGCAACGGAGAATCTCCAGCTTTTACGGTATGTCGATACATTTGATGACATGTTGCCAATGGCCTAAAATACCACAGAGCTACCATCCTTACTGCCTTTTTAGTTGGCCAAATTCTAGAACTATTCTTCATAGCACAGCAGTCCACGGATCTTCCTTTAAGCAATGCTTCCATTTTCAGTAAGCTGCATTTCCTCAATCTGGGTGTTGTTTAGAAGGTGGTAGATAATGCTTTTGAAATTATTAATGCTAATTAGTGCAACACTTTTAGGCACATCCTAGCCTGACAAAGCAATCTCTCTGCCACTAATCTCAGAATAAACTAGTTCTTATTTTACACCTCCACTCCTATTTAGTTAGCAGGAAATTTTGAAATTATTTTCAGCTATTGCAAAAGTTCACCCATAGATTGATCTGGGCCAAATGTAACTAATTTTTCTTATCTCCAATCTACCCATTCACTTAAGCAAATAGTGATCGGAAATTTTCTAAATGTACTCTAGATCTGTTGTATGCTCTGCAAATATTTAACAGTAATTGACTTTGACCTCCAGTAATTTTACTATAGTTATCAGTAATTTTACAGTTGATACGCAGTAAAAAAGAATCAGAATATCACAGCTGATGTGCAGCAATAATCGATCTATATTTCACAAACACATCTACAATGAAACTGAGTAAACTTTATCTTAATTTCATTCAAGAAAATCAAATAATAGCTGAAGCTTGATAATCATTTTGCAATACATCATTCACTTTTGGGTCAAATTTCAAAATGTAATTTTAAATTTGACTAGAATATTTATCCTGCTTTTGGGACAGAAGCAGCATGCCTATTCCCATGTACAAACAGAATGGATTTCCAATTCCTAGATCCAACAAGACCCCTAAAATCTAGGCAAGTTCCAAAGCAAAGGGTGTTAGTTCCTCAGTCCCTATCGATATATCAGCTACACATGGAGACAGGGATCTTTTTGAATCATTTTTAATTTTTTTTCTTTGTTTTTCATTGTACAGGTGGTGACGTTGCTTTCGCAGCTGGGGAACCAGTGGAGTCTTTGGTTTGGTTCATCAGTCCTTTCTGTGGTAGAACTGGCCGAGTTGATTTTGGATTTTTTGGTCCTCACCTGCATCCTGGTTTTCCGCCGGCTGTGCTTACATCAATCTTCTGACCTTCCTACACCCAGTAACTCGGATAACTCTGTCTTCCACAATGTATTTTCAGCCCACAGAATCCCACAAGAAATATCTGCTGAGGCTGGAATCGCTGCATTGCCATCTTACAACAGCTTGGAAGCACTAGACTTACACAGAGTTTCCTTCAGGAGAACAGAATAAAACCCAGACCAGAATGATTTGGATATGACATTGTTATATACGTTAATCCTGACCTATAGACTCAGCACTTGGAACTAATTGGCTAACTGAATTCTCACAAGAGAAGATAGGCCTGAACCTCATCTTTAAGAATTCTAAGGAGTATGAAGTTACAGACCTAATGACTTGAAAGCACCTTTCTTTCCGTACTTTGTCCTTGGTGTATGCAATTCCTTGAGTCTGTATCTGTTTACTGCCAAGCAAAATTAAAAAGATGCATTCTGTATAAATATTTGCTCCATATTTTGTAAGTAAGTCAGCTTTCTACAAATTGATCCTGGCTGTTGCTCCCCATTTCTTTTCTTTGAATTGAGGCTGTTCACTGATCAGATTCTCTGCAGCCAAGATGACAGACAACTAACCCCCTTCTTGTAGGTTATAAACAAACACAACCTTTTCAATATTTTTCATCCCTTGAGATGGCTAGAAGTCCTTTCTTATTATGGGAACTATCAGCATGGAAATACGCATTGGAAACAAAGAAAAGCTAAACAGGATATGAAAGCTCCCTAGGATTAGAACAATCGTACCACATGTACATGGATACACTTCCATACTTTGAGAAGCAAAGGATCCTTCATTCTGGATCCATGAACTATCGAGGTATACTTCAATCAGTGCTTCTTTAAGCAAGCTCTACCAAGGAGTTCACTCCATTTCTCTTCCTCTGAGTATATCCAAGATTTGAAAAATATATAGTTTACGATGCGGTTAATATGGATGTTAAGTTCTGCTGTATTACTCAGACTCAATATTCAGCTCCTGTATTGTATATTTCCCTACAAATAACTTCAGTTGAACAAGGACCTAAACTCTTTCCCTCTCGCTTTGTTTGCCCAGGTCCTAATGCTAGAAAAACAGTACATTCTTAGTCTTGTGTTCATTCTTGAAGTGGGTGGAAGGGTTTCAGATTGTTACTATTTCCCATTACACTAAATAATGATACTCCTCCAAGAGCAAAGGATGGCTATGTGAACTTCAGTACCCTTTTCTCCCCTTTAATAGTGTACTAAAACTCCAAAATGGTGGTAGAAAGTTAGACTGGCAAAATGTTTTTTTTTTTTTAATACAGGCGGTCTGTATGCTACAAGTTATGCAGAACCCATTTACCTACATAGGATGATAACTTTATGTTATACAAAGAAAAGATGGATTTATGAAGACTCCACTAGTGTTCCATCAATCTAGGTCCACCTTCTATATTTGATCTCCAGAACAAAAAGGAGGAAAAAACAGGAAAGGCATGGGTCTTCAGGACAGTCCTTCTAATTTAAGAAGTTCGCTGAGTTAGAACTTCAACCTTTCTCTCCACAAAAAATTGTACTATTTGCATATTGCAGGCTGTAAAAAAAAAAGCAAGTATTTTCAGCAGTCAGTAAGGAATTCTATATTGGCAATGAAGCAAGAATCCCACCAACGTCAGTGTTTTTCTCCCACGGCTTCCCTCTGTATTCTTAAATACTAATTGGTTCCTTGACTGCATAAGGACAGGCTGAACTACCTCTCCCTTCCTCAAATTAGACGCCCTATGAATGTTTAGTGATATATTAGCTTAACCAGATAAAACAATCGTAGCTCTCACATCATAAGGATCCCCTTTTGGGCAGAATTCTGGTTTTGCTCTGCATTTCCAGCATTATGGGTACCAAATGAAAACATGCATTTTCTGAAAATGAAAAGGAAAAACATCTATGATTTTGATAGGAAAGTGTAACTACGACTGAAACCCAGAGTAAGCACATATACAAATGCCATCTTATACGCATTCAGGTTTCATGCAAGTCTCATTTTTTTATGTAGCCTTCTGGGGGTGTCTTCAAAAAAAAGTGTATTATTCCAAGTTGCTATTTGGAGTCCTCTCCAAATCTATAAGTTAAATGTTTGAGCAATGGCAGCTGCCTCCACACTTTTGTATATATTCACATACACTACACGCACACATACTGTGTCAGCAAGTTACAACTTCCCATTCCATACACTACAGTTGTGGAGGATGATGTTGAACTGTTTAATATACAATAGGACAGTTCATTTTTTTCCAGTATATTTGTAGCAAATCAAATACTCTTTCTGCATTTAAATCAGCACAGGGTGGAGTGTAAAGAAAATATATATTATACAGTACAACAGATAAAGAGCCTTCTGCAACACAAGGGGGTGGGGCTTCAGGCAGTGACTGAAGGTACCTACCCCATAAGTATACTAGAATAAACCTAATCCCATTTGCCATATGAACAATGCAAGACAGACAAGTATTTCTCTAATTTCAGTATGCTACGGTGTATATACTTGTGTTAATAGCAGCTGGGTAGGACCTCCATGCTCCATTTCCACATCATCTACACATAACCAAAGCAGTGACATCTGAGAACTCTGTTTCTCTCGGTAACTCCTGATTTACATTCTTACTTGAACAGAAATGATAGAAAATTAGACTAAGGAAATGAGAGCATAAATGAGCTCTTCCTATTACTACTTTCTCTTATATGCCTAAACTGGGCACAAGTTGTCGTTGGAGAACAGCACAAGGCCTTCGTGCTTCAGTTTCATCGCTACTTTTCTCACGCAGGGTCAGCAAATTGATGAATTTCTTTTGTAGACCCGAGACCATCATATAACCCTTTCGCGCAGCCGCTTTATATTTAGATGGCAGTATCAGAACAAATTCTCACGTGCTCTTGACCACTGTATCCAAGTAGTTTTATACCATTTATTTCCACACTGAAACTAATTAGGAATATTACACTGTTAGCATTTTGTTCTCTTTGACATAGTTTATTCTGCTTGTAACAGTTATTTTGCTAAATTTGCTTATGCAAAAGAAATAGAAAATGCATTATGCCAGTATAATGGGGGACAAACAGGTTAAGCCAAAAAAAAAAAAAGGATATTTTTAAGCCCTAGTCAAAGGCTGCCCTTGCTCAGGATTCTTCCAAATATCTTGCCTTCCACTGCTGTTAATTGCAGCCAATTCTCCAAAAACTCTACAAGGCCGCACCATATCAAGTCCAAATTAAGTACGAATGCCACCCATCTACTCGATATCCAGTGCAACGTCCCATGGTGCAATTGTACGTATCATCCACTGAGCCACAATGCAGCCCTGCTTCGTGCAGCAAAGAACAAGAATCCACATGGGTGAAGATCAAGTTTGCCAGCTTTCCTGCATCTATCTAGCTAGATGCCGTGTTGGCCCCTTGTGATCTGTCTCATATCAGATTATATATATATTCAGACAATATCATTTTTAGTACTCTTATTTCAGTCTAAATTCTTCTGCCTTACCACCTGCAAGGAGAATCCCGTTTCATCCAGTACTCAGACAGGTGAGCCCAACTCATTTTAGTGGGTCAAGAAGTATTTGTTAGCAGAGGTTGTTAAGAGTACACGAGCTGGTAGTTATACATGCCAGAAGAACATTATGGCTGCATTCCTCACAAGGACAAACCACACACGTGTGAGAAAGCGGCTGAAGTCCTGTGCATAGAGAAAGTAGTCCCTTGGTTTAGGCAAAGAGGGCCTAGGGATATGGGTGTACTTTTTGCCCATGCATAGAAATGGAGCAGTGAGGAGAGAGAAAGGGAAGAGGCGCAACATACAACATCCATGAAAACAGACAAGAAAAGCGGAAGAAAGCAGCCTAGTGGCCTTCTCTCAAAAAATATCGTAGCAGATTAAACCAAGATCTTGTCCAGAAGAAATCAAGAAGGGGCTGTGCACCTTACTGTGCTTCCTCTCCTACCGACAGCAGCATCACACCTTGTGCCCCGGCTCCTCTTCAGGTGTTGCACTTCCATCAACACAGTCCCACCGAAATAGGAAGAGAATTGTCCAAAGAAGATGGGAGCTCCATTCCTGTCCTCCTCCATCATCCCCCAAAGGGGAAACAAGATGGGGATTCGCAAAGAGATGGACTCTGCAAATGAAATGCTGGTGCATGGCAGTGAACATGCAAAAAATCAGCACCTTTGCAGCATGCTATGGCAAGAGTAGGGTTACTCCTAGCAAGCCAGAACTAACGTTTAGGGGCCAGATAAAATTGTTCTGAGGTTAAAGTAAATTAAGCCCAGTGGCTACCAGCTGGTAAGTCCTGCCAGAGCTTTACAGCTTCTGGGCCCCTTCAACAATATTCTCTGGTCAAGCCCTAACTGGCACCATAACAAGGCCTCTTACCGAACTATGCCTCATAGCTCTATCAGTCCTTAGACTGGAATCAGAAGAAAACTACCATTCTTCAGCGTATTTAAACTCTGAGCTCCTTTCACCCTGGAGTCATAGAACTTATCCCACAGGCTGTTAGGGGGCAAAGGGGCATGAGTTTACATGCACATGTCACTGTATATTCTGACAGGTATCATCAAGGGATGACCTAAAACTAAATGTGGTGAGAAATAGCACATCAAAATAAATACCCATGCAGTCTCCCAGAATCACTGGCATTCTGCATTGCTGTTTCCAACTCATGAAGCCAGAAAAATCCAGAGTCCTCATTTTACAGCACATTGCTTTTAGAAGGAAACCCTTCTAAATACACTACAGAGGTTCCCAAGACACAGCTCCTGCACTTGCCATTCCACTAAAGGGCAAGCAATATGGGACTTTCCAACTCAGTGGTACCCTCCATCATCTGTTAGCTTGGCCAGACAAGCCATCTAGCCTTTGAAAGCAAGGGATATACCTTCATCACAACTCTCATTCTGACAATATCGGGAATAAAGGCGTACTTGTTCTTGGAGCCAAGGATAAGGAACCATACCAATAACTTTCCTACAACATCCAAGAGGTGAAGTAGGGGATGGCTGTCAGCCGTCATAAGATCAGAACTTCTGTCATCAGAGCATCAACAGGAGCTTACCTAAGAGTCTAAGGAAGACTCGATCAATTCTGGTGATACCAGTATCTTCTCATCAGTAATCACTACTGTAATGAGACCCAACTTTTCTCCTCTCTATTCTGGGGGAGTTTGTAATAATACTGTCCATGGCCAAAGGAAATGCTTTCCTATAGAGTCCCAGGAGAACTGAGTACATACAGGACATTTCAGATTGCAAGTGAAACCCCAGGGGTAATCAACAGAGTGCATCAGTCCTCCACAGTTCCTCCACTAGGCCCACTGCCACCCTCCAAAAATGAGCTAGTCCACTCAGAGGCTGCAGCAGCTGTGAAGGGGGATCAACTCAAATCTGGAAACAGTGCATTAAAGTCTTGAATGGAAGCAAACAAAACTAACCAAAAATAGATGACAAAGCCAGAATGAAGAGAAAAAGGAAAGAGAAAGAAGAACTGGGTCTGGAAAGGGAAATGGGGTAAGAAGGCTGCAGACTGGGGTGGGGAAAAGGGGAGGGGACCACATTCTCAGGTAAAAAAGTAAACTAGGAACAGAAGCAACAGAAGAAAGAGAAAGGAGAAAACGAGAGGGCATGTTACACCAAGCATCCCACATTTAACAAACACTACCGAGCATCAGGAGAAGGAAGCTCCCCTCCCACCCAATCTGCCTGCCTCTCATCCAGCAAGTGATAAATCTCATCATCTCAAAAGGCACAACTATTACTGATTTGTTGGACTTTAGCATTGCTGAGAGACAAAAGCAGGTACCATTTCCCATGCTCAGGGCAGGCAAATATTGCTGTTTACCCAACGTTTGTGACTCACAAACTCAGCTACTCTGATTCCCCTTAGTACTTACGTGCAATTGCAATGACCACAATGGCACAGATCACTCCCAGCATGATCATCATCTAAAGAGAAGAGTTACAATGAGTCCATGCATAACCCTCACATCTCTCCCTTGGCAAGATCAAGGCCTCCCACAAAAATGGACAATGGACCATCTGAAGCTGTTTCATCCCAAGCCCATCTTCATTGATCCAACTACCCCAGTACTCTTTACTATCTGGTACTGATTTCCAGGTTCCCAACTACACTTTCCCAGTCCTGCCAGCATCTTCCTGGCAACATTCCAAATTGCACCTAGAACTTTAGGTATGCAAAACATTGGCTCTATTTCTGATCTACGAGTCTATGTCCCCCATTCTGGAAATGAGCTGTAGCTTCATTATACTGTAACAAAGTAAGATTGCCCAGGAATAATTACTTTTATAAAAGACTGGAAACCCTTTATAGACTTTTGGCTGAAAATGGATAACGATGAATTGGTAATTTCGGAATTTATTAAAAAGGTTTATTGATGGGAAGAAGGGAACCATGATATGAAATTTGGGAGGGTAGAAATGGTAATTACTGTGTTTGCAATTACCATGTAACTGTTCCAAAGAAGATCAGAAGTTGCTTCTCTAGATATTTTTCTTTTGTTATCTTTCACTTTTTCTTTTATTCTTTCAATATTTTTCTACTTTTCCTTTTATGTTTCCATAGTTTACTAATCTCATGTAAAATTTTCTTTTAATAAAAACTATATTAAAAAAAAGGATTGCCTCAGACTGCAGCTGTACATTCAGTGAACTGCCCACTTCCGGCTCACCTTACAGTTTTTCCACCAGTACTTTCTCTTGAGCGCTGCTGCACTACTTTCAAATACTTGGGCACCAGCCTGGAGGGCATCTGCTCGTTCATCTAATTCTGAGAGTTTCTGATCTCGTTCCAAAACTTTATCCACATTCACACGCATAATATCCACCACCTGAAGAGAAAGGATAATTAACTCGCTAGCAAGAGAGAAAGCAGAAGACCACAAAGAACCACTTCAGTAACTTACTTCTTCCACCTGCGCTTGAGTCTGCTGCAGGCGCCGATTACTGGTCAAATTTGGAGGTGGTCCAAGGGGCCCCCCAGCATTTTCACCCCCTTCCTGTCCTGCCCCTGGGGCAGCTTGCTGAGATGGATCAGACCTACAGAAACAGGTCAAGTACAAGAGATGATGCAGATGCGTACATCCAATACTCAGCCAGAAACAAGCACACTGATATATACAATTGTAACTTGGCTGCAGACATCTTGTTGTTACCACCACATAAGAAAACCCAAGCACTACAACATGGAAAAGACAAAAAAGTCTATTCAAAGTTACCAAATAATTGGGCCACGCAGGACACTTGAATTATTTATCTTTAAAGTAAAAACACCTTAAGAGGAAGCTGGAAGACTTAGGTCTAATATTAAAAAAAAAAAGTTATTGTATAATAATAGGACTCACTATCTTACACTGTTGTACTATTTTTTTTTAGTTGTATGCCATCCAGATTCTTTAGAAGCAATGGACTTCTAAATCAAATAAATACCAAATGTCTGATACTCAGTAATGCAAGAAATAGTGAAAAGTACTAGGCTTCCACAGTGTGAAAAAGAAAGGACTCAGTACCTATTACACCAAAGGAAGCCAGTATATTTCAGATGTAGACTCTCTCTCTCCCAAGAGCAACTGTTGGGGTATTATAGCTCTTCAGAAGTACTGCTAGGAGATAGTGCTCGAGCTTCGCTCTGACCTATCTGGGTTCTTCAGGATGCAAGAAATGAAGTTGAGACCACAGCAAGCATCACAGGCCAAATGAAATGAAAATCCAGTGCATAGCAAGCGATGGTTCAATGGCAGAGTTGTGACATCTTATTTTAACTGCTACCTTCAGGTCATGGCAAGGTCTCCTCATCAAGAGGATGCAAGTAAGATGACAAGCTATGATTCAGGAAGTCACCCAACTCTAGCCTTACTTCAGCAACAAAATCTTTAGAAAGGTATAAGAAAGGATTATTTAACTCCCTCATCTTCTTCTGTAAAAAACTATTGCTTGAATCATCATAATGCGGTAAGGGCGGATGTACGGTACAGCAGAACTCTAGCCTTACTTCAGCAACAAAATCTTTAGAAAGGTATAAGAAAGGATTATTTAACTCCCTCATCTTCTTCTGTAAAAAACTATTGCTTGAATCATCATCAAACTCTGATTATGAGGTGTGCTAAATATCTGGAATGTACTACTTGAGTAATACTAATAGTTACAGTTGAGTAGATGTATGAAGAGGGATTCCCAAGTCTGCAACCATAAAAGAACTGCTGTGTCACAAGGCAGAAATGTTTACTAATAAGTAACATTGCTAGATATATTTGGCTTTGCTGCAGCAGCAGGAAGAGGTCAAAGAAATCATCACGCAAATCAGTTCAGAGAACAAGAATGCATTTTCCAACATAGCAATGGGGGCAGTGGTGCAAACTCATGAAGGTTACAGACTAATGGCCAGGCTAGCAAAAAAATGCCATCGGATGCTTCAGGCAGTGTTTCCAGGCATTCTTGCCATTAGCCCATAGATGAAGGAGGAGACTGGAGAAACGCAATTATGGAAAAGACAAGGAGTCCCCAAGAAAGAGAACAGAACTTAAGACTTCCTGCTTCACTGTCCAAGCAAAGAACTATCTGCAGTCATCTGCACACCAGCGCCCGTGCGCATACACACGCTATTTTGCTTCTCTTCTCAGTGATGAATCCTCCATCACCTGACTGCTCTTTCAGCAGAGATATTATGAGGGACCAACTCAAAAACCAGCTACCCATTACGCAGGTTCCTATACTGCACCTCCAATGGGAAGCCCACACGAAGCAGAGTTGGCCACCTTGGTCACCCGCAACTCTTGCTGCGTTTTTGTTTCTTCATACAAGGATAATCGCCTGTGCTAGCATAATTAAACCCTTTCCGATGTCTCAGCTTGTAATCAAGGCAAAAATGGCATTTTCGGAGCTCCCTTCTAACGTTCTGCACGAAAATATCCCTCTCCTCCATTGCCGCTATGTGTCCGCTCAAGACGCCGCTGGAGCCTCCGGGCACATCCCTTACGGACAGTCCTCGCCTGAACAGAAGCTATCCAGCAGCCGGGGGCAGGAATCGCGGCGAGGGGGACAGGGAGAAAGATGGAGACGGCGAAGCACCCGCTGCAGCAAGGGGAACCGAGGAGCCATCGGACGGGATGAGGCATCCGTCCACGCTCCATCTCACTTCGGCACCGGACGACGGAAAAAGAGAAAGGGGGGGGGGCGGCGATGCTGCAATGCGCAACTCGGCAAGCGCCGCAACTGAGCGGGAAAACCGGCAGCGCGCTACAGGAAGGCCAGCAACGACGAGAGCGTCTGTCCCTTCCGTCCCTACTCACATGGCCGGCCTCGGCTCCGGGAGCCCTTATCTTCCTCTCAGGAGGAAACGCACGAAGCAGCGCAGGGGTCAACGGCCCGCCGGCGGGAACGACCAGGCAAGAGAGTCCCCACCGAAGGCGGTCGAAAACGACTGCA